TTAAGCTTTGCTTTAACTCTAGATATCTCTCAAAAATTTTGATATTATACTCAAACTGCATAGACTCAGATTATTTATTTTGGACCAAATTTATGTTTCTATGCCAATCGCTTATCTGAGATCTACTGCAGTCATTAAGCAGGATTAGGACCACCCTTGGCATTTTCACTATACAGCACAAAATTGACTTCTCATATTTTTAATTGCGAGGATTTCTCAGTACTGTATAACATGATGTTCGCATAAAAGTGAGTAAAATGTAAAGTATGACAATAATGGAGTGAGGCGAGGAACTAAACGCTCGATCGCATCAGCGTGTAAATTAGCTTTCTTTTACAAGAAACCATTCGTAAGTGACAATTTTCGCAGAGTCGAAATAGTGATCAAAGAACAGTCTGGTGCAAACCGGTTCTTGTTCTGGCTCGTCAAACTCTGCATAGCACAAAGGCCATCATTTCACAAAATAATGTCCTACTATTGTAATGAGGTTGGACTGAGATGAGCATGGAAATCTCTTTTTTCTGGCTTTGCCTGATGAGTTAGGGGCGAGAAGGTCGGAGAGCAAAAAGGACGATAAGCTCTTAAGTGCCAAGTTGTCATCGGCATGAACTCTCTGCGCAAATCGCCCTGTTAGGCCTCTAATGGGACAGGTCCACTTAGAGCGATACGTTTGTCAAAGACAGCGGTGATGTCTAGCTCGAACAACACAAATACATGCTAACAAAGAAGTTTGCTAGGGTTTTCGAACTTAAATACACACAATGAAATTTTTCAGTAAAACCGATATTAAGGAAGAAAATTAAGAAGATGCAAAAGGTCACTATCAAAAAATAAATTTATTGTTTAAAAAAATTTAATATCAGAATTTAGTGATACTACGGCTCTGCCGCTTTCATCAGTTTTCATTCCTTACAAAAAAAATTCCGTACAACATATCAGTCGGTTAGCCTCTTACATTTAGTTTGGAAATAGAATGTAGGATCCCGTCGAGCCTGCCATCTTGAATTTTATATGTTTTCTGTGAATTTTCTAGTATCTCTCCTCAACGGACATCGTAGAACTCGGAGAGATAAAAATAATGACTCAAGTATTAGGTACATTTGCACAATTCAACTACGAATTCGAAACGACAGCACAAAATTTTCAAAGCCTTCCAGCATTTTTTAGCCAAATCAGTAATCCAGAGGAGGGAAGGGAAGAGAGGGAGGGGAAGTTGAAAGACATGTGCATCTGTTATCTTTATAAGAAGTGCGAGAAATCAGTAAATGCTAACACGAAAACGCCCTATGGGGACGCAAGTGATAGAGAACTTCATAAAGCCTCGACTTACTTCAAAGACATTCTATTGTGAGCAAGCAATGTTGTAAACTTCTTTTTTCTACTATTACAACAGCTCAAGACAAAGATTTTTGTCGTAAGAAATTCAACACTGAGTTCCTTAATGCTTGAAATAGTTTCAGCAGTCCAACAACAAGTAGCTCCTTCTCTTGAGTAGCTTGTTGTTAAAGTCGAAATTGAGAAGATTGCTTCGAAATTGCATTGCATTGGTTTTCAATGCTTGGGTAACATTCTGAGCGAGCAATGAGACACACGATTGATTAAAATCAAAGGTGTTTCTTATTTTAGATTTGATTCACAACTTTGAGTCATCACTCATTGCAGATTACAGGACAAGCTATTGAAACCTGATAAAACTTTTTTCCAAAAGCACTCTTAATCTAGTGTGGAATTTTTCAGCTTCTTTTGTCCTGTTCCAGAAGTGAAATATAGCTCCCAATAACACAAAACCTTCTTCAAAGTTCCTACCGTAGATACAATAATAATGAGAGGAGGATAATTTACTCTATACCAAAAAATCTAAGTTAAAGCTACCTACACAAAATGTACCATTTTCTCGAAAGACTCGATGACAGAGGGGTTACTACCAATCAAACAGTGGGCACATTTTTTGGGAGACCCTGCATATGAATTTGACCGCCAGTTTAAGCTTAGAAGGTTGTTTAGTACGTAATAGAGGAAGGAAGTTTGAGGTAATTTTAGTTGAGAGCTAATCATAGCAACATCTGAGGATGATAAAACGGCCGCACTGATTAATTAAGGGTATAGAAAAAGAAAGACGAAAAGACAAGAGAGGAGAGGAGGGACAGGTTATGTGACAAAGTAAAGAGTTGTCTAAAGAGGATGATTTAGGAAAAAAAGTATTTTTACTTACAATTGGTATTTCTTATGGGGTTTTCTTATTTCAGGGCACGGTACAAAGTGGCTTTCCAAAAATGCAAAAAAAAACGAAGTCCCTCTCGACTTACGCAAAATTTGACGAACTCTCCTTTAACCCTAAGCTCTAAACCTAGAAAACCTTCAAAAAACGAAAAGTCGGCTATAAAAACACTACTTACAGATGTGTTTTTTCAAAAAGGATATCCTTCTGCTTTTTGTCCCAAAAACGATATCCAGCTTGCTTATAGGCCACCTGTGCCGCCCTGCTTATGACCGAGAAAATCTCATGAACAAAGTTACAGCAACAAAGTCTATCCTACTTCTAGTAAAACATGCTCAGAAATGCTATAAAATTTCCAAAACGACTGCATTGAAGAGTGAATATTGTAACTACTAGTGGTTGTTACAGAGACAAATAGGGCGTGAAATAACTAGACATGGACAAAACTATACGGCGAGCAGTAGGATCATGTTTTCGTACCAGTTTATGTCTATTGAAGTTGATACTATGATATTCATTAGTATTGGTTTAGGTGATACTTAAAGGCATAAATTATTAGGTTGAAGCGAAAGTACTGTGGCTTCGATTTTGGAAAATTTGTAATTGCTCCCCAAGTGACCATATTTGCTCATAAAAAATATCGTTAGAAAGAGAACTTTGTCTACTTTCTAATGATCCACTTTGACAACAAGAGACTGATAAAAAGTTAGAAAAGAAGAGCCACTCAAACTTCCGATTGAAGATATATCGTTAAAAATTTGAAAAGCTACACAAAAATGTGGAAGCATGTTTGTTATATTTCTGAGCCTCTTTCCGACACTGCCGAATTTGCGTTATAGCTTTTCTACGAGAAGTTATGATTTCCATAAAAGATGTAGAAAAATGCAAAAAAAACAATCTCAGCACTATTAGAAAGAGCAGCTCACAAAACCTCCAGAACGTGCTCCTAGATTTTTCTGCAGCGTTTCATATATTTCACGATTTATTTTCAAAAGTCAGGAGTTTGAGTGGCTCTCCTTTTCTAATTTTTACTTGAGTCACCTGTTGTCAAAGTGCCATAGAGATAACATTAGAAAGTAGACGAAGTTTATTCTTTAATGAGATTTTTGTAGGCAAGAATAGGGAGCAGTTACGAATTTTTCAAAATCAAAGCGACTTTACTTTCCTTCAACCTAGTATATTGAGGTAAATTTTAAGTTTTATTGAAAGACTATATGAGTATGAAAAAAACTTGCGTAAAGATATAAATTTCAGTGCTTATAGATTCCTTCCAATTACCGCACCTAAAGCGTGGGTTACAAAGTACATTCACTTAAAGCGCTTCTCAAATCCTACTGCTCATAGTTACCGAGTAATTAATTCACGCAGTTGTTGCTTCAACATAGAAAATGTAATCTTTTCACATAATACAATGTTTTTTTTTCAATATCTTGAATAGTAATTTTCTTTCTGTGCATAAGAGTTAATCCGCGTTTTTGTTCCGTACGGTGAATACTTCAGTGATTCAGAATTGGAAATCTTGCTTAGAAGTCAGACTTGGAAAATATGCTATTGAGGAACTATGCTCAATAAAAGATTGAAGATTACCGCATAAACTTTATTGATCTTTAAAAAATTTGTAAGTTGAAATTATTCAAAATAGGGATGAGCAGGATCACGAAAGTGAGTACCCACACATGTGGCATTCACTCAGAAAAATATTCTGGTGAAAGATGAATGGACCCCAACTGTCCATGGATCTACACAAGTAAACGTACCATTCGCATGCGATCTGGAGAATGGTTTTATTGCAGGTAGAGGTGAAATCTATTGGAGCGGCTGTTAATCGGGTAAGCAGGTTAGTTGACTCGAGAAAACAAATGGATTCAACTGCGTAAACATTGACTCAAGCTCCTTAGTAAAGTACTGGTACTGTAATCTTGAATTAGATCTAACAAAAAAGGTAAATAAGCTCGGTAAGGACGCAACAGAGCTATAGTAACAGCTTTAAAAATGAGGAAAAAGCAGATTTTTGATCTGAAGGCGGAAAGTTCTTTCTAAGCGTAGCGAAATGACCTCGTCAGTTCATTTCTCGAACCTGTCTTGCTAAGTGATAACATCGCCGCCACACCGTTTGTTATTTTTCCGATTTACGACGATAAATCAACGCTTTCTCATAAGCGTTTAATGGAGAGTTGCAATATTTCAACTAGGCTTACTGCTAGTTTCAATAATAAATTTTTGGGATAAAATACGAAAATGGGGTCTAAATTTCATTCAGTAAATTAGCTTGAGCTTGGCTTGTATTGCGTATAATAAAAGTTAGTAGATCAAAGACGGTATTGAGGAAGAAAATGGGACGTCGCACAATGAATGTAAATAATGAACTGGTTTACTTGACTCAACACAGACCCTTGTAGTTTTTGAGCAGTATTTTACCCACAGTTCGAGAAGAATGCGAAAGTGTGCGCATTGAAAATTTTTGTGGACGGAAACACTTCAATTATGGCTACTAAAGGTGACACAAATTTGGTGCTATAGCATAAGAAAATTGAATTTCCTGCCATATACCATCAAACCTTCACTACTTTACTCTATGACGGTAAATGAGGTGGTGATAACCAGGCGAAGGTTATATTCACTTGCAAAATATAGTTACGCACTAATAAAGGCACAAATTTGATTGGATGAGGAAAACCTTGCATTATGAAGAAAACAACCAATAATAGTCACAAACATCAACTGCTTGATTTAGGAAGAAGAGATCCCAAAATTACTTGCTTCGAAGAAAATTCCATCCAGAATGACGTCAACGAATCAAATTGATCTTTGTGCGTGCGAAAGACTGATTCATTTTGATGTAGGTGAGTTTTCTCTAACAAAGCAAAACTAAATGTCTTAAAAAATATCTGTTTTCTGTCAATCACACTAACTTGGAGTCGCTAAATTATGATATTAAGAGGATCACAGTAAGATAAAGCTTTTTTATGAGCTTCGTGATATTTGCATAAATAAAGCTAATGGTTTTTGAATATAGGATTTTTTGAGTTTTTTTATCGCTGTCACCGAATAATCAGAGATTTCGAAAGAACTTCGGGCACCTTATAGGAACGCATATGCTGAAACTTTTATTTTCTGTCGAATAGCTTGTTGTACCTGATATGCAAAGTTCACGTTCTTATCACCACTACTCCACCATAGTGAAGATTTTGCGTTGGTTGTTTGTAAGCGGCCGATGAAGTGACGACTGATGAGCGTGTGATTGCGGAAAATACAAATTCGCATGAGCAGAGTAGATTTCGGCTTAGAAGCACTCAATAAGGGAGTTTGATAGACTGAAACGTCCCTCTGTGCACAGTGCAGCTTTTGTACAAGTGTAAACAACGTAAACGGAATAGGGTTGTACATTTACCAACGTGTACAGCCAAAGCTAATTGAAGCGAACTAGGTGGGATTCATTATCGAGTAGTCTTCACCAAACTTGTGAATGTACAGATCGAGACCTCAAATAACTATAAGAGTAGAGTTTTACAACTTTTTCTAGTAGTCCATTAATGGGTAAGCTTTGCAAGCGAAAATACATGATTTTCTTACTTTAACAGTTTCATAACTGTTTCACTTATTGACATTGGAAAATCATATGAATTCAACGAACAAACTTCTTTACTTTTGTAGATCCAAAGGAATTGGGAAATTGTAAATGAGTAGGTTAGATACGCCCAAAACATGAAACCGATACTGCGTAGGGGAGGTGCAGCCTCAGACCCTTTATGAAAAGGGTGTCGAAGTTCTTTAAATGGCCTGTAAGACATACAAAACTATAGTGACTTGCTTTTGACTACGACTAAATCAATTAAGATGGTTTCACAGTTCAAGACATTCTAACACTCATGCAACCTTAAGTGAGGGGAGTAAGCGTGGTATTTCCTAAAGCTCTTATGAATGCTTGCAAGAAAAGAAGATATTATCAGACAGACTTTCATCGTACTCATAAGAAAGTAACAGTCGTAAGAATAATATTTATTCCCATACTATGGTGGGTCCATCGTACCCAATTCCAGTAGAAAATGTGAATATGTGTTTCAAGGACGAGGGTGTCTTTGATCATCCTACCATCTGCAATGATTAGCTTGCAAGTGATGGTTTGATGATGACTTAACTTCGTTTTGAGTTCTTTGAGTGCACTCGTCCAGAAAAAAAAGAGAAATTTTTCGACACAAAGAGAACATAAATCACAGAGCTCGCCTAGGTCAGCAATTACAGAATAAAGAAGACTTTAGTTAAACTTTCAGTAGTCCAAATGAAGAGATCAAAGATCTGCAACGGCGAGCCCTTGTAAGGAAACGTGACATTGACTCCGGGAAGTATTGTCATACAGAGCGGCGGTTGGCGGGCTATAGAAAGCAATAATGTTGAGTATTTGCATACTTTGTACATGCACATGCATTCATGCCACTGTTGACACAGTGGCCGTGCTGTGCTCTCCTGGCCCATAAACACGGTGTAAATCACAGAAATAGGCCTATCGCCACACCTGTTAATTCCCTGAGCAGGCAAAACACCAGCAAGGGTGTCATAAGCTAGTTGTTTCTCGCCCAGATTCTCTTAGGGTAAATGGTTGCAGAAGACTCTAAAGGGTGTGAAGTCAATATATGACGTGACTCAATATGTGAACCTGCAAACTACGCGCGGCAACACACCACCATTACTAGTAACCTTTGATTCAACTAGCATGGCGGCTGGAAGGCGGGGCTTTGTGACCTAATTAAGGCCGCTCTCGCCCGCGACGCAGTATGCGTCTCTCCCGCGCGCGTGCTCTCTGATCATTACCTAGCCTTAACACCTTGACGACCGAAGCCTTTCTGGGACCAGCCAACATTTTTCAAATAAAATCACGCACCGTTCCATCTATACTACACCTACAGTAGCGCTGGAAAGCTGGCAAAAACGGTAGAGGTTGTATCTAAATCCAGCATGAAAGAAAATTCTGGAATTGGTTTGACACATTTCAGTAGCTATTTCAATGAGAGTCATGGTGTGGTGTGTTAATTAGGTCACGAAGCCCCGCCTTCCAGCCGCCAAGCAAGTTTAATCAAAGGGTAACTCCTCCGTGAAACCTTTTCTAGGGTAACAAATGAAATGCATATTATCAACAAATACATACGCACTCAAATCAAAAGAGAACATAAAACCAAAGAAACTCACTGGAAAAAGGGTTCCAATTCCACAAGCGTCAATTAGGCGCATGATGTGGACGCATGTTGAATTACGAATGACTCGACAATAGTTTAGATGGAAGGGTTTGTGAGAAGAAGTTCCCTCTTACCTTTACTTGATCTACGAATTTACTTCCATACGTTTTTGGCATAATACGATTAGGATAAAAATCAAAGATCAAAAAATATCATTCGCATGAAACAGAAATTAAAAGACAACAAAGGATTTATCGAGCAGATCCATTTGATTTTATGAAAAAAAGTCAGATGACGCTAGGGAGTTGCCGAAACAGACATTGCCAAAGAAAACTAAGTTCACGGAATCTTCTTCAAATTATGTTAAGATGAAAGAAAAATAGATAATGGTGATGAATAAAGACTATTATATAACTATTCGATTTCTCATATGTTATAATTCAGAAAAACGCCAGCAAAATAGCATGTTTGCATAACCTTTCGAAAAAGCACTTCGAACATGGTTCCGGCCGATCCGACGACGTTTATGGGTTTCAAACTGCGCTTTTGAATAGCTCCATTATCATAGAGTTGATGATAAAATCGAAACAAATTGCATTTTGAAGAAGAAATCAAGGAAGCAAAGCATAATAAAATTTAAATCTGATATTGTTACTGAAAAAATGTGGATTAATTTTGGCAAAATCTTGAAATATTGGTGGAAATGCTTGAATGATGTTTCTGTGCTGTCTATTTTTTTGTAAATTCCAAAGATGATTGAAAAAGGTGTTTTGAAATTTGAAAAATTAAAGGTGAATGCTTACGACCAGCAGAGATTTTTCATTTAAAAAAGTCACAAAAATGATACCAAACAAGAACTGTTTTTCAATTTTTGGTGTTTCAAGCCAACATGTTTCTATCGAACAGTAATGAAAACAATAATTTTTCTTCTATCAGGTAGAAGCGAAAGTTCTGTCGCACCAAATTTAAAATTATAACTTCTTCCGGTCACTATAGTCTTGCATGATAAAAATACAGTCAGGAAGGGTAACTCATGTACTTTCTAATGACTCGCTGCTTTCTCTCTCCCATGCTCTGGCTGCATCGATAAAATTGTGAAAAGGAAATTTTTAATTTCGGAATTTGAGGCAAGCCAATTGAAAATTTCAAAACTGTAAACTGCAATAAAACCCAAAACAGCCAGTATCCTAGGTTTCTTGATCCCATCTTTCTAGCTGAGCGAAAATCGCGTTGATTGAGCTCTTCTTTAAAAAGTTACGATTTTCAAAAAAATGCCAAAAAAACGGTTCCTTGAGAAAATTGATTTTTTGCCATTTTTTCTCGAAAACTATAACTTTTCAAACAACAGCTTGACCAGCGCGAATTTGTTTTTGTAGAAGAAGGGGTCAGATAATCTAGGATGCTGGCTGTTTTCGATTTTATGGCGCAGTTTTGGATTTTTTAACGGGCTTGCCTTAAAATTCCGAACCTGAAGCGACTTCCTTCTCCAATTTTTATCTCTGCGATCAAAGCATAGTTGACAGCATACAAGGCATCATTAGAAAGTACATGAGCTACTATTTCTAGTTTTATTTTTTCATGCAAGATTATTGTGATAAAAGGAAGCTACGATTTTTTGAAAATGGTACGACAGAACTTTCGGTTCAACCTAATACTATATGTCGAGAACGAGGATATATTTGATTCAAGTAAAAGAAACTCTTGAAACTTTAAAATTATACTGCAAGGCTAGAAAACTATGCTGTAAGGATTGATAGCAAACTTACAATTAGATTTAGAAGGAGCACGAATTTAGCTTCTACGGTTCTGCTTCTACTATTTCTTTTGCTACATGATGAAAAGGTTTCAGAAGGACAAATGACAGAATCATTGGCAAGCAATGCAAACTCTGAATTTTCATTTTCTTGCACGATCGCGATGTAATTGCGCGTGCAAAAGAACTCGTCCTTTTTGAGCACTCGAAGCGAATGCAATTTCTTCAAGTGCCAATCCATCTCTTCAAGAGTACAAGTGAAAATAAGTGGACGGAACTAATCGTTCAAAAACTCAAGGTTTTGATCGCCATGAGTTGAGAAATTTTAATAAGATGACTTTGTTACCCTATAGTCCATTATAGACAGCTTTATTATGGATTAGAAAATAAGCTCCACCACATGGAAAAAAGATTTAAGTTATCAGCGATTTTTTGCCCGTTTTCGCCCTAATAGCATGATTGCGGAGTCCCGGGACGAATTCCTTCACATAACTTGAATAAAAAAAGTAGTGTAAGTTACAAAACAACTGTTATACATTGTTTTTGGAAATAGCGAAAATGGAATATCTCCTCAATTCATTTTATCGGAATTTTCCATTGCAAATAGTCACGTAAATAAGGTGCCGAGACGTACCACAAATTTTTCGAAAAATTGTCAGACAGTAAAATCAACACATTCGAAAAAATGTCAAGTTTCTTCTGACAGTAGAATCAGTGCATAACTGCGCACTAGTGGCGGACCGAAGGGGTGTAGGCGCTTTCCCCTCCCCCCCCCCTCCATAAAAATGGATAGCGACGTTTTTGCAAGTAGCCTACATGGGGTTATGAAATGGACTTATTTCATTTGTAAATAATCGAAATAGTTTTTAGAGATTTGCAAAAATCAAATTGAGTTTGTCGAAGAAAATTTTCGGAGGTAGGTTATGCGCCTTAAAAATTTCAAAAAGCACCAAAATCCTGGAAAGTGGACTTAGTAAACCACATCCCTTCATTCGAAAACAAATTTCCATCTCCCTCTTTGAATAAAATCCTCGAGATACTGATGCGAAAGCATTTTCAATTACTTATACTCTGAACACAAATGTTTCAAGAAGATTGTTTTTGCTGCTTTTTGTAATGCTTACGAAGGAATTTATAGCCTTTTAGATAAATTTGATCTTCTTGGGCCAAACTGACCTGGAACAAGTATGAATAGTGCGAGGAGACTACTTCCAGGATCTAACTTGACGGAATGTTACAGCAGAGAATTTCCCTATTTAAAGGAAGTCTCAAAGCCATTTACCCTGGAATGGATGGACGTAATGAAACGAGAGCGGTAGCAAACAAGATGATTACCAGCTTGCGAACCTGGACCTTTTGAGCCATCCCGAGTTCTGATGGGTTATTTCGGCTAAGTGGTGGCTGGCTTGCTGAGCGAACTGAAACTTTGCGCATAGTTTGCTGAAAATAAAAATATGCCCTCATCACAACAAATGGTAATGAGTATTGAACCCACCGAAAAAGGACAACGCGGACTACCGCTGACCTGCACTACCTCTAAAGATATCCTCATCAATTTTCATGTCTTTTCTTAAGAGCCTTGCACATAAAATGCTTTTTCGATAAACAACTCTGTAAAAACAAACGAAAAACAACGAATCAACGAAACTATTTAAGCATGAACAACTGCGATGCCTTTTACGGCTCATTTTGAACCTTACTTTCGGGTACGGTTTGAGTTCTTGAATTCCTATTTTCTGATGTAAGTTGCTTTTGTGACAGCTGCAGATGTCTTGAACAGGATCAGTCGACAAAGCATGGGTTAATCGTGATCAGGATCAAGCAAGGGGTGTGGCACACGATCGATGGTCACGACCCCCCCCCCCTGATTGCTGTCTTAATAAGACCCCCCCCCTGAACTATACACTTAAGATAGCATTACTTGAAGGCCCTGTCAAACATAATGGGCAACATATCCATAATCAGCATGTCAAATAACCCCTGTAGAAAGTTTGAGCGAATTCTAAAGACTCAAGATATTAGGCTACTTAGGTGAAATGGTCATTTTCCAACATGATTAACTTTGTTTCAAAGGTGAATTAGCTATCCGTTTTTGCACTCAAGACAAAGCACTACTCCTTCTTTGTCCATCTCAAAAATCCCGCTTCAAAAGACCTTCAAACTCTGGAATTAGAAGCCAACCAAAATCTCGTTTTTCCCATTTTTCGCTTTTGATCGCTTTGCTTTCACCAAATATTACTCGGAGCTAAAAAGACGAATCAGGCTCCAAACAGTCCTATGGAATCTACAAAGTTTAGGCTATCGACTCATATAAATACTGTCCGCTAAAACTGTTTTTTTGATATAATTGATGGGGTGCGGTACACCCCCTCAAAAGCTGCGGCAGCCGGTACCGCACCCCATTAACTATATCAAAAAAAAAACATTTTTAGCAAACCATATTTATATGGATCGATAGCCTAGGTCTCCTAGTTTTCACATGAGTGATTTGAGCCTGATTCGTTTTCTCTGCTCTGAGTAATAGTTGGTGCAAGCACAGCCATCAAAACCGAAAAATGGGAAAAACGAGATTTTGGTTGGCTTCTAATTCCACAGTTTGCAGGTCTTCTGAAGCGGGATACCTGAGTTGGACAAAGAAGGAGTAGTGCTTTGTCTTGAGTGCAAAAACGGATAGCTAATTCACCTTTGAAACAAAGTTAGTCATGTTGGAAAATGACCATTTCACCTAGGTAGCCTAGTATCTTGAATCTTTAGAATTCGCTCAAACTTTGTTTACAGGGGTTATTTGACATGCTAATTATGGATAGGATACGAACACCATGTCATCACTATTATCAGACTATCCAACTACGACCCCCTCCCTTTTGACTCCTCAATACGACCCCCCAGGTGTGGCGTGCCGCACCCCACGCTTGACCCTGATCGTGATTGTCCGCAAGTCTGCGCTTCTCGTGCTCTAATGCGAATCATCAGCGCGATGATATTTGCGTCCTTTAAATCACCATTTTCAAGTTTCATCTCCGAAGTATTCACGTATTTTCTGCTTCCTTTGTTCTTTTTTCGTTGTAAAATAAAACACTTATAAGTAGGTTTTGAAGACTGCGTGAATATCATTGGCTTTTCGCCGTATCTTTTTCCATAAGGAGAAGGAATTCGGTATGTTTGTCGAGAACAGGTTTTGCTGCATATTCCATTCGAAAGTGTTCATTCTCACTTTGTGGTTTACGTAATGTGGTCGTTCTCGTGGCCTCTCGTTTTTTTATCTAGATTTGGATATTTCCAAGTTCAGAATGGTGGAATCCGCGGGTACCACAGCTGTCGCTCCTGTCGAGGATGAGAAGACCAGAGCCCTTACTAACTATCGGAAGAAGCTGGTCGAATATCGTGATATTGAGCAACAGCTAAAATTGCTCAGGAAGAAGGTCAGTGTTTAGAGGTCTCTACACTGATTAACAGCATTTTTTTTGTTTCTAGGAAGCCGAAATGCAGAAGAGCTTTGATAAGTCGGAAAATGACATTAAATCGTTGCAATCTGTCGGTCAGATCGTTGGGGAGGTACTCAAACAGTTGACTGAAGAGAAGTTTATCGTAAAGGTAAGTGAATTTACTTCACAAGTAGTTCCGCCATCTATTATTATCACTTTTTAACAATTATATTCACTTAACCTAATTTTGTTCGAGAGTTTGAAGTCCATCAATACCTATGCTTTTTTGAATTTACAATCTACAGGCTACCAATGGACCTCGATATGTTGTCGGGTGCCGTCGTTCAATCAACAAAGAACAACTAAAGCAGGGCACTCGAGTAGCTCTTGATATGACGACATTGACAATAATGTGAGTGATTTTGCGTCGAAAACTGGGTGTTTTTTCTCTTTTTACCTTAGTTTTTTTCCTCAAAAATGACTTCACCTCCGTTAGATGAAAGCAAGTGGCATGGTCAGCTACATATTGCATGTCACTTAGAGTGTTTTGTTTTAGATTACTGTTAATTTTTTCGTGCCAAAGTTATGAAAGTTACCAATTTTCTCATAAGTCGTGACCAAAAGTTTCGTAGTGATAGAATCAAGAATAATCTCCTTCATGTATGCGATGAGCACTATGCCTCTGAAATAAATGGTGAAAGTAGACTGCGGAATTATAATTTAGAAGTGGATTTTGTGTTGTGGGTTGCTGTAAATACGTGTTTTTTGCTAGCTCATTGTATTGTGTTTGCCAAAATTTGCTTTCAGTAGTGCAATAGTTTCTAAAAACTAATGTTTCTTCTTCGATTGTTCTCAAAATACTCTAGGTTAGAGACTATAGCATTTTATAGTTGGCGCACACAAAAGTTGTGCTTGCGGTGCAGCTTCAGGGGCGTCTGATTGCAGTCGATTTGAGAGTTTTATTGAAAGAAGTTTGTCAGCAACGTTTCTTTTTCAGATATTTTTTCCTTCTTCACGCGAGCTTTTTTTTTCAAATGTTTTTGTATATGTGCTTATTATGATCATGTAGTTTATTTATTTTCTTCTAGGCGACAACTTCCTCGCGAAGTTGATCCACTCGTTTACAAAATGTCGCATGAAGATCCCGGCAACATCACTTACGCTGACGTTGGTGGTCTTGCTGAACAGATTCGTGAACTGAGAGAGGTGCATTTTTATGTTCCACCTTTTCTTGGAAGTCGAATCATACCGATGTTGTAGGTAGTCGAACTTCCTTTGCTGAATCCCGAACTCTTCCGACGAGTTGGAATCACTCCACCTAAGGGTTGCCTTCTATATGGTCCTCCAGGAACCGGAAAGACACTGCTGGCGAGGTTGGTGCTTTTTATCCAAGCTCGTTCTCACTTCCTCCAAGAAAAATATTATAATACAGGGCCGTTGCCTCTCAGTTGGACTGCAATTTCTTGAAAGTAGTATCATCCGCCATTGTTGACAAATACATTGGTGAATCTGCTAGAATGATCCGTGAAATGTTCAACTATGCGCGTGACCATCAGCCTTGCATAGTTTTCATGGACGAAATTGATGCTATAGGTAGTTTTTCGTGCTCTCCTTTCCTTTTTCACTCTCTATGTCATTCTCTGCAGGTGGTCGCCGGTTTTCTGAAGGAACATCAGCTGATCGAGAAATTCAAAGAACTTTGATGGAGTTGCTGAATCAGCTGGATGGGTTTGACTCATTGGGTAAAGTGAAGGTAAGTCTTTGACTCCGTTCTGCTTGCTATTTGTTGTTGTTAATGGGATTTTAGGTCATTATGGCTACCAACCGTCCGGACACGCTTGACCCTGCTTTACTTCGTCCAGGTCGTCTTGATCGCAAAGTAGAAATTCCTTTACCCAACGAACAGGCTCGGTTAGAGGTGGGATCCACTTATATTTGCATTTGCAAATTACGTCATCTTTGAGTTAAATTGGGAGTTTGCGAAGGCCATAGTATTGTAGGTCCTGAAAATCCATGCTAACCCGATCACCAAACACGGTGATATAGATTACGAAGCGGTAGTGAAGCTTTCTGATGGTTTCTCTTGTGCAGATTTGCGTAATGTGTGCACGGAAGCTGGTAAGTTCTTCATCTATTTCGATGATCCTCGGTATAAATCATTTATTGTTATCTCTACTCAGGTCTCTATGCAATCAGAGCCGAGCGTGAGTATGTTATAGAGGAGGACTTCATGAAGGCTGTGCGAAAGGCAAGTAGTCTTCATTTCGAACCGATTACCTCACTTTTATATTCTTCTCTATCAAATCATCATATTCTTGTTTATGAATCTTGTTTAGGTCGGTGATGCGAAGAGACTGGAAACGAAACTGGATTACAAACCTGTCTAAAACTGTTGACCTGTTAACATATTGGGTGTCATGTATTTACCATAAGCTACAATTCTTAAAGTTCATCACCTTTGCTTAATAAATTATTTCCAGTGTTTCAGTAAGTGTAGTCATATAAGCACGAGTACAGAGATATTGATAGGGCGGCTTAAGTTAGGACAACCCATAAAAGGACATATCAGTGCCAAAAAATTTCAATGTTCACGTGTTCCTCTCAACATTATTTTCACAAAAAGCTAAACATCCGCGTTTTGTTTCAACCTTGGCTCCTAAGTTCGCGCTCTTAGGGGCCGGGCATACTTCACGCGATTTTAGTCGCGACGCGATTTGGCAATGTTGCAACTGTGCATAACTCATTGTAAGAATATCTTGAATGTACAGAAGGTAAATTTCTTCAATCCACGTAAGTTATACACACTATGTTTATGCAATTTGCTAGTATTGGATCTGAAGATTTCCTGGCGAATTGCCAATTCGCGTCGCGACTGAAATCGCGTGAAGTATGCCCGGCCCTTTACGGAGACGGGAGTATTCAGCGCTGCACTCGTTGTTTGAGGTGTAGCTGAAAATTTGATCATGGCTGACCAGTGCAGCCCGCTAGTAGAGACGACCGCTTATATGTTCCGATTGTAAGGTTACTTTATCCTTGTGCAACCTCGTTGGAACTCGAATGATTTTTTCATACTTGAACGCTCATAACTCCTCTCAGATAGTCCACTTAAGAAGAATATGGTTGAAAGTCAGCGTTCCAAGGTGAGACCGACGATACAGCTTGTTTGGAGTGACCGGGTTAAGTTTTGACCATTTTCTCGTCAGCACTTTCTCATTGAATCAACTAGGAATATGGTAGCTGGAAACATGGGATGCAGTTTAAGGCGTTTGTTTACCTTTACTGTACGGGAATTGCGGGTCATTTTGAAAAACCGACAAAAGTTTTGAACCTAATTAATAAATCGTCTTGAAGATGACTTTTTCAATTCTGATTTTTTGCAGGCTTTCCTTGTAAAATCAAATTTTCCGATAACAGCTGTTCTGGTACAAAGTCGAGGTATTTGATGCAGCAAATCCTTTAGACTTCCTCATTTGCTCTATTTTTCGTGGGTTGCTGGGCACAAAATGGAGTACATTGTGGTTTTCGTCGATCTTTTATTGTGCGCTATCATCTCAACTGCCATCTCCATCCGGGCTATCTTTTCAAAATTCAAACATGCTTTTTTTTCACACATTAGTCACTGGATAATCCAAATTCTATTGTTTCGCAGTTAGCAGTTACTCGACGATCATAGAATATAACCATTCTTTCGTCATACTCGAATTACTTGATTCAGCAGCGAGACATCAATTACTTTTGAGATCAGTTTTCTTTAGAGTTCTGCATATGATTGATTTTGAGAATCCGTTAGCTTTGAACCTATTTATAATCTAATGTTTGCTGTGTCGATTTGTTTGAACGTTGTCGCGACCTATGGAATTTTATGTACACTTTCAAGGGCGCTCTTTCAATCTTGAAATACTTTATTTTTGTTTATAATAATTTGGTAAAAGTAGAAATTGGATAATATTATATATCAATGGTATGTTGTGCTGTGAAGTTCTGATTTACTTGCTTAAATATGCTTTCACGATAGCAACAGATTCTTCAAGTGTCATCTGATCCATAGCTGCTGCTTGTTCACGGATATCAGAGTAGAGGGCCGTAGACCTGTAAATAATGTACGGCTTCTTTAACTTAGAGTTAGAAGAAATACAGGAAGAAAAGAGCCGAGCCAACTTACAGATAACGTTCTCCATAACTGTTGACACTTGTGACTATCAACTTTCCCTTATTCTCTGGGCGTTTGGCAAGCTTAAATCTACTCCATTAGATCAAGAAGCTTCTGCATTGTGTGTCATGATTTATCAATCATGCCATTTTGAACATAATAGCATAGTATGCTATGTTGTAAATGAGCTATGAGCAGGGTTCCGGCATAGGTATATCGTTTTTGTGGCCGAAAAGACGCAAAAAATTGCGACATTTTGTTTCTTAAGCGTATTTTACGGATATGGTTTGGGGTCAAAGAAGACTTCGTAAATTTTGGCGAAAGTCAAAGGGGACTTCGTTTACAAAAAGCCTGAAAACAGACTTATGCCGGGCCCTGACTATGAGGTGGATAGGGATTATGCGATAAATTTGAAAGATGGTATAATTTCGATAATGTACGCTCACAGACGTGGCGCAATCGTCAATTTCTTCCCAGCTAGATAACATGCAGCTTTAAATGAGAACACATTGACATTGAGGAAGCAGTATCAATGGTCACACGAACTTGCTTTGGAGTCAAAGCGCAAAATAAGATTTCTCAAGGACCTATTACTTTTTGACCCATATGTGCTCGTAATAATTGTCTAAGTAGGCTTCCCGCTTTACATAACCAAGTTTTCGATTTCCTTTTTTGAATGTTTTATGCAACTCCGCTGGTAATAATCTGTGAAAAAAACCGCGTTTCGTCGAAATCTGCCGAACTTCGCGTCGCAACGCCATATCTCGCTTCAGAGTGGACTAATTCTGAATCCAGAAACAGCACTCAAGTCAGCACGACGAGAAGCTTCTTTTGATGTGATTGAAGTGCCTCTTTGGGCAGGTAGTCGACCAAATTTCATAGATCTTTCCATATTTTTTTGCTTAGTATAGGTTACTCATTCTGCAATGAGTAAGCATTCTGAGTAACTTACTCTCAGCGAAAATCCGTAAAGATCCGTACAATTTAACTATTACCGGGCTCAAACAGGCTCTGTATATCGAAAGAAGCATCTCGTCGATTTGAGTTGAATGTGTTTCTGGATTCAGAATTTGTCCTCTCGAAATCTGAATCGAAGCAAGAAAGGCGATGCGACGCGAAGTTGGGCGAACCTCGAGCGTGGTGATTTTCCTCACAAGTTACGAGTAAACTAGTAAACAGCAGCTCCAACCAATCTACAAGAAGTTTCCTAATTTGTATTTTCACAGAGCGGCAACTTTGGAGTCAAAGCGCAAAGTTAATTTTTTTCCGTCTATGTTCACATGAAGCTAATTAGCTTAGAATTCAGATTTTCCAAAGTTTTCATTTCTACTTGAGCCACCGCTTTGCGCTTTCAGTCAAAATTTCAATTTATTTTTTTTTTGTTTCGCAGCTGGAGAAACAAGTACCTGAATCGCAGCGCACACGTTTGCGCCAGATGATATTCCGCCCAAAATAGCCTCTTCTTTTGCTAGTCTCTTTGCCATTGCTATAGCATCATCGGAATGTACACGCAATGCTTCCTTGAAGAGCGTACGATCAAGATTTTCTGGGATTATCCCAGCTCCAATGCCTAAAATAAGCTTATTACAATAAAGTTTTCATTTTGATGGCCGAAAGGAGTAATTGTAAGTTTACCTTGGATTTTGTGAGTACCAGCTGGAAATCCGTTGATGACAGATGACTCATATGGTTCTACAGGGTATACCTAAATGAATTTTTGGCTTTCGAAAACCTCCTTGTATCAGATTAAGAAAGGATACCTGGATGTTGGGGTTTTGCTCTTTCAAATATCGTCCCACACCAGTACAAGTACCACCGGAACCAACACCGAAGCATACGATGTCGACCTGTAAGTTTAAATGTTCGTACTATAAACAATACTCTTGCTTTTTAACGATTTAATTTTTGGAAATCAAGAAGAACATCAATTATAAGATGCTTCAAAAGTCCTAAGGCCCTAAATTCAATCTGGAAGTTTCTAATCACTTCATTCTTGTAGACGGCTTTGGATCTCACCTTTCCATGAGTTTGTTTCCAAATTTCCGGCCCAGTTGTGAGATAATGCTGTTGTGGGTTTGCTGGATTAGCGAACTGAAAGAAAATTTTTTTCTATTATCACAGAAAAAGGTTTCAACCTAGAGATTAGGGCATCCACGAGGGAAGTTCGCAATGAATTTTTGGAAACAAGTAGTAGTAAGTCATTATGAACAACTTTTTTCATTCTTTGCTGAGCAGCAGACCAGTCTGAAAGCGGGGGTGCGTTCTTGGGGCCAAAAGCAGCGAATAAAGGTTTTCAAAGCAAAAGTTGACAGAAGAGCGAAGGCGTTGAAGAGAAAATGTATTTGAGGCTTTAACGATGATCGTTGTCGGGGAAAAGAATGGAAAATAGAATTTATTGCTTCTGCCGAGAAAATTAAGCATCTTGTTGCAAAGCGAACTTACTTGATTCAAAATATGAGAGTTTGGAATTATAGCTGCCAGATCCTGTGCACGTTGCACTGCAGCATTTATGCCGAGCGCTGGATCAGTGAGTACCACCTGAAATGGCGAATTTGAATTGAGGTTCAGTAGCTATCGCAAGTTTCAAGCAAAATTAGTTCCCAACGTGTAAGTCCCTCCACCGACGCAGACAATGTACATTTTGCATGCATTGCTGCAGCGCGGTTGCGACTACTTGTTGTTGCAGAGGAAGTAAGGACGATATAATAAGTGCAAAAAGCAACTTATAATCAGTCGGTGGTCTCTGCGCTGTCCGTGACTTCCAACACAAAAAAAAATAGCTTACCTCCGCACCATAAGCTTTTAATATAGCTCGTCTCTCAACGCTATAAGACGCAGGCATCGTCAAAATTACCTTGTACCTGCAACAGACTTTTTTTGGTAGGAGTTCTAGATTTCACTCCCAGATCCCAGTATATCTCCGACTCAATAAGCTTGAGTGCGGAGGCAAACCATAAAGCATGCTTCCTCTTTCCCTAGAAAAGAAAGGAGCATATAGCGTATTCATAGACGCAGACAATGTACGCTGTGCATCAGTTGTTGTGGCGCATGACATTGCTTTGCAGTCAGAGAAGAAGTTAAAGGCAGTGTCTCGGCAAAATCTCCTTTTTCAGATTTTCACTTTTTCGGAGTATTTTCGTCATAAGGAACAGATATCAGGGCTTCTCAGCGCATGAAAGTAGCGAAAATGAGCTTCTTCCAAAACTTTTCAGGTTTCGCATTCAGTGGAGAATACGTGCAAGTGGGGGGGGGGGGGGGGCGGAAAACTTCCGGCGTAACCTCACTGCATGTGGACCTGGAATGCTTCGGAAAAAGCATTTTTGCCATTTTCATGCACTGAAAAGCCCAGATATGGATTCCTCAGGCGAGAAAGCTCCCGAAGGTGAAAAACTGGAGATCGAATTGTTGCCGAGACACTGCTTTTAAGAAGTTGATAAAGATAAGGAAGCACTTAGAAGTCAGCCGTTAGTGGGCTCCTTTTGGCAATGCTCGCGTGCATAGTCAGTTAAGGCTGTTTCCACAGTCCGTGTGCCAATGTCGTGCCAGCATCGTGCCAGCCACATAGGGCGCCCCCTAATGATCGATAGACGCCCTAGCACGGCGCCAGGCAACTCTGAACCCAACCTTAACGACGCGTACCTCCGCACCGTAAGCCTTCAGTATAGCTCGTCTTTCAACACTCATAGATGCGGGCATCGTTAAAATTAACTTGTACCTGGAACTTCTCTGCCGTAGACTGCCACGGGGAATGTAAGGGAGTAGAAAAACTAAGAATAAACTTACCCTTTGATCGCTGCACAGTAAGCCAACGCGATACCAATGTTACCGCTCGTCGGTTCAATGAGCACACTCTTTCCTGGAGTGATCTTACCCTGTTTTTCGGCTGCCTCAATCATTGCGATGGCTACACGATCTTTGACGGATCCTGCTGGATTCATGTACTCGAGCTTCACTGCTGCAACAAATATCGGCCATCTAGTGTTAGAAAGTTTGGTGTACCTTCGTGCAATCTTCTATGAAAAGAAACCTCATATGATTATTCCGCTAAGTTTTGATTGTTTTTTCCATGCACAAAAATTATGGCATAAGGCCTAAGGCATACCTCTCGCGTCGCGAAATCGCCACATTTCTTGACTTGGCGATTTGCCAGATATCTAGAGATTAGAGGCAGCGTCCGGGCAAGATCCATCCACCCAGGTTAGCACATAGTTGTAAAGAGGGGCCCATAAGTATCCGATCTGCGTTGGTCCGAATCTTTGAGGTGGCCTCTAAAAGGAGATACGGGCCTGTGATACGTATCACAAAGTGCCCTTCGTATCACAAACCACCGCTGAGGACGAGTGCTCACGCAGGTTTGCGGTTGCATTGCAGTTGCATTGCAGTTGGACTGCATACTGCAATGCAACGGCATCCGTGCAGTTGCAGCTCCTCCCGCTGGCATGCGATGGGGACGAGCAATCCGAAACTCGTCCGCTTCTTGAAGAGAGGGTCCCCTAGAATCGGGTTTTTTGGGGGTTTTGAACAATTTGGAATTTACAACTGTATTCAGAGCCACGGGAAGGCCCCAGAATGGCAGAAACATGAGAGGCGAAATTTTGCCCGGACGCTGCCTTTAAGCATGCGAGGCTCTCGGATGCATGGGTGCGTAGATTCTGTAAATTGTAGCAAACGCAGCAAGTCTGGCGCAAATAAAGTGCGTTTACGACCAGCTTTGGAGAGTCGTTGCAATGCCAAATCGCGCGGCGACTAAAATCGCGTGAGGTATGCCTTAGGCCTAATGCTAGTCTTTATACTGTTCTAAGCTGATCAATGCATTAACTTCAAACGAAAGTCCACTCAGCATTTTGAAAAAAAAAATTGATTTTGTATTTTAGTAGTATTGCTACTAAATACTCTTGAAGAAAGTGAATCTGGTACTTTCCAAAGTTGCCCCAAGGTCCCTGTTAAGCCCTGACTCAGAGATAAATCAAAGCATGAGATCATCCAGATTTCGGTGATTTTATTCAAGCAAGACAACTAAAATCTGACCATGCAAGAAAATCCAAAACGGTGGTATCATAGATTTTAAGACCTTCTCTTCCTAACTCTGCAAAGCTTGTGCTTATGATCGAGCTTCTTTTTGAAAAGTTATGGTTTTCAAGAGGAAAATCAATTTTCGTTTTCTGCTGTTTTCGGCATCATCAAAAATCATATCCAGAAAACTCGATTGCCAAAATTTTTGCGCAGTTGGGAAGAGGTTGTTTCAAAACCTTTCGGCTTGCTGAAGATCGCCGAAGCTTGGAAGATCACATTCTTTTGTTTTTATCTCTGCACTAAAAACTCAGTAGGGAATCTACAAGGTACTCTTAGGAATTACAAGGTTTATTTTTTTGGAAGTATTTATTGATAGCAATGATGGTGCGAAAAACCTTTCGGTACCTGATATATCAGCACACAGATTATGCGGGGCAAAACTCATGAGGAAAAGATCGAATCTGAGGTAAAACTTGTTTGTCTTTTGTACAACCTTCATTGTCTTGACCATACTCAGAGAATTCAAGAGAACTTCCACAGAACAAGTAAAATTTGCAGCGGTTCCGCAGGATTTTTTCTCAATAGCAAAAATAGAAACATAAAAAATGAGAACTTCCGCAGGATTTTCACGTCAGGTTGAAAACACGAACTTCTGCAGGACCTTTTACAAAGCGGAACTTCCAAAAATGCCAGCGGTTTCGCAGACTTTGACATGCCGGTACTTCCGCAGGGTTTTGGATTTGTTGTTTCGTGATGTTGCCTCGCCAACAACTAGAGTGCATTATCGAACATGTCAGCCGTGGAGCAGAGGATAGTAGGTGAATCTCACAGTCAATAGAGTGATTTGCTGTTGTGGTTCGCATTCTTCAGAACTTCCGCAGCCCCTCATTTGGGAACTTCCGCAGCACGTTTACGAAACTCCCGCAGGTAACCCGACCGAACTTTGCCAAACGTTCTGTGAAAGTTTCGGTCAGTTGTCTGAGTAGGTCATTTTTGCATGGAATCATGTCAAAGGAACAACTTGTGCAAAACGTTACATGTACACTCACCGATGGTTGCGTCTAGCCCTTCCGTTATTTTATTTAGTTTTACAAGTGGAGTGTTCCCGATGATCTCACATCCCGATGAAGCTACTGTATCGCGGGACATCTCTAAATATGTTATACCTAAATTATTTGTCCATAGTGTCAGAGGATCGTAGACAAAAAACTACGTATTTGGATTATGATGCAAGCAATCTCAAAACTGAGAAGAGACTTATTATTATACATCAGTTTACTTTGTCCGATAACCAACGAAAAAAAGCATAGCGAAATGCGCACTTTCAAGCTAGGATAAAAAGAAATGCAAAAAGATAAGGACGCATTTTACTGCTTCGTGGAAACGGTTTGAATGGAAAGGTGTGCACCGGAATGGTCAGTTGGGCACTTACGGGGCTGGTTTTCAAAACAAAAAACGGAACATTGGAAAAACTTGAAAACCAGGCCCTATATGGTAATTACAAACTGGCATCGAATGGGACTGGTTAGGCTCTTCTGGCTTAGCAGTTCTTAAAAGAACCAACGATAAATGTAGTTGGCACGATTTCAGATGAGTTGAAGGAAGAAGTTTGAAAAATAAAGAAGTTAAAAAAAGTGATGATTACGTCTTCGTCTTTCTTTATGATTCAAGCTCGGTGAGATAAAAATCAACTGCGATTTGATTTCTTTTGACATGCATGCATAATATAACAGAATTCAATTATACATAAAAGTGTACAAAACCCGAATTTATTTTTTATCGATTAGAGAGAAAGAAATTTGTGCGAATCTCCGCTACTCTTTCCTATTCGTACCCTTCTCTCCACGAACACGGTAGGCTTACTTGCTCCTGAAAATCATTCTGATGTGGTAATTTTGATAATTTTACTCCCCTCCTCTAAAAAAGATCGAAGCAAAGATTTCCTGTCAGTCTAGTCAAATTAGTTGTTAAACTCATTTTGAATTTTCAAATTATAGCAGCTAGATCTCAAAAGTGATTGATTAGCTACCGGAGCAAGACTACGAACCAAGTTCAAAGTCTGAATTTCAGAGTAAATAGTTTGGATATCCGCAGAAATGGCGAAGACTGTAGCTCGAAGCCCTTATATGCACAGTCCGCAGATGGTTTTGCAAAAACTACTAACGATGAGACTTGAAAAATGGTTTCGGTGCAGCCCATATAGACGGGTTTGGGGTCTCCTAACGATCTGAGCATAATAGCGATGGCTTTGGCTACCACAAACAGGTAGCCAAAGCCATCTCCATAAGGAGCCATGGATATACGATTTATGGCTTAGCTCGTTAAGAACTTCATTTGTCTTATTGAACGCGGCCCGAACAGGAACAGAAAACATTAATAATTTTTTTTAACGCAACATGGATCTCAACTTTCAATGTATCTTCGTTAGATTCAGAATGTAGCGAATTTTGAAAACAAAAGGTCATGCCAACTGGGATACGTTTTATATATAGCCATCTCATGTGTAGTAATTTTGCGTTTTTCCTATTTTTTTACAATTATACAATCAAAGGTTAAGAGTCAAGGTTCTGTGTCTTGTCCGAAACAATCGAAAATTTCGATCCGACTTACATAATGCATAGCTGCGCACTTCGAAAACTTTATAAGAGATGTTTTGAATTATTAATTGTTAATGTTAATTATTGATGTTAAGGACCAGGATGCTTTGAACATTACTTTTTCGATGAATAAGTTGCCTAAAGGGGTGAAGATGAATGAAGAAATGGAGAACAAAGCTTTGGGAAAATCACATAAAGCTGCAAACCTAAGTTGTAAACTTACAGACTCTACAAACTAGATAAAAGTTTTTGAATGTCTTTCATTTGGTCAAACCAAGGAGAATGGTAGTTTCAGAAAGAGTACCGGCGATGTTTCGTTGCAAGTTTTTCTTACAACATCAAGAAGTATTATAAGAAATGTAAGATAAAAGCTACCAGCGATCGTTACAGAAACGATTAGTTTAAAAAGCGATAACACTTTATATAGGATTAACACATTCTGAAGCATCAAAAAAGAAGAAATCACATGGTTTTGCTGTAATTTATGTAGTTCTCGCACCTTCAGAACTTGTTTCTTCGTGAACCGATAGTGCGCTATGAGAACGTAACTATTGCATCCTACTTTGTAAATACGTAGTACACTTAAAGTTCAAAATAGTGAGAAGAAGGATTTCGAAAGAAATGGAAAACACACATCTATGTGTGAACAACGCAGAAAATGGTAGAGCAAATCAATGTGTTATGATTGATCTCTTTGTTCTGCTTTGAATGTGAGTGACTAGATATCATTGTTTCACTGTAGTAGTAGATATATCTCTGCAAGGTTTTGTAATAACCAATTACTAACAACTGAATCGTCACTGAGCCGCCGAAAAAAATTTGTTGAAATTTTTTTTGCAGTTTCTTCTGCTCCTTCAGTCTTTTCCTTGGCTTTTTTCTTGCTTTGCCAAACTGCCGGGTGCTTCCTGTGCATATCCCTAGGTGGGTAGCCAGCAGCTTTTTCGCTTCCATTCCCTCTTAAACACGTCTGCATCACAGTTCTGGATTTCTCCTTCCCTTTTCTTTACCTCGCATAAAGCACATTGAAATGAGAGTCATTGAGAAAATGTGATTCTGTTATGGGCATTTCCAGCTGAGATAGAAAGATTACACTTTACTTCTTCATAATAGAAGACGTTAGTTTACCATAGCGAAGACAAAAGGGGAAACTATAGAGGGGGGAGAGTATGTGCCTTCTATGGATTGTTGCTTAAAAATCAGATCCGCTTAAAAATCGCTTCTGGTTACTAAAGGATTGCGGTGGAAACTTCCAGCATTTCTCAAGGAGACTTTGGGGAAAGTTGGCACGGTATTACTGACATAATTATACATAAACTTTAACGATAAAGTGATAATTTCATATTTAGGGCTCCGATTAGTTTGGTGTAATTGTTCGTAGGTTATTTGGTTGCGCTCTAGAACACTTTATGACAATGCCTCAAACCCTTTCCGAAGTTTTTACCGCAGTCGTACAGTAACAAAGGGCAATCCGTGAATCGTTCGGCGCGGCAATATCGGTAAGTTGAAGCCAGCTCTATAAAACTATACATATATGTGTTTGTGTGCGATTAATTCGGATTGGGTCAAAAATGAACCTTCTACTCGGGACGTACGCACAAGCAGATATTTGAACACAGGCAAACACACATTTAGCTTTATATGCAAGACTAGCGACTCTGTGGCTCACTAGCAAGCGTTCAGGGCAGATAATAGTAAGTACGAAGTTGCTCGAATATTGACATTACCTTCTCATTCTGGTGGTTTTCTAAATTCAATGAGGGAACACCCTAATTTCACGCGCATAAGGCGCGGGGGATTTTTTTTCCAGAATCGACCAGCCCAGACAAGCCAAAGAACTTTACAACCAAAGGGTCCTATAACGTGCTGTATATTGCTTGAAAGAATCGTGCGATGTAAGGATTTCCTTCCGGAATACAGTGAAACGGCTGAGCGGCTAGCTTGAAAATTCGAAAAAGTGCGCCTTATACGCGTGGAATTAGAGTACTACACCATTTGCTTCCAGCGTACTGATTGCTGCACGTTTCGTTCTGTTTGCGCAAATAGTCTAGCCAGGGGTGCCAGATTTTTTCAACATTCACCCAGGATTTTCTTAAAAAGGAGCATAACCCCCTAACACTCCTGCACTTTATCAAGACTGTGAACAATTTCTTTTATACACCTAAAGCACCATGCAATAATTCCAGTTTTCCATAGCATCAGGCATCTATTCTCACCAAAGGCTACGATTTCCTTATTCTCTTGCGGAGAACTCCCATCAGAAGACTCATACCAAACAGCGAAACGTTCTTTTCACACTTCAAGGCGTAACAGTAACGCCGTTCTCCCTCCAGCAGTCGCACTCCTACTATAACTACTACCTTCTATTAGGTTGGTCTGAAAGTTCTGTCCCACCATTTTCAAAAATTGTAACTTCTTCCTAACACAATGTTTTTGCAAGAGTAAAACCACATTAAAAACAGTAATTCGTGCACTTTCTAAAACTACCTTGCTGCTATTCACCAAGCTCTGAATGCAGAGAAAAAATTGGAAAAAGGAAATCACTTCGATTTCGGAATTTTTTAGCAAGCCCGTTGAAAAATCCAAAAGTGTGCCATAAAATCCAAAACAGGCAGTATTCTAGGTTTTTTGATCCCCTCTTTCCAGCTGAGCAAGATTCGCGCTGATCGAGCCCTTTTGAAAGAAGTTATGATTTTCAAGAAAAAATGCCAAAAAATCAGTTTCTTAAGAAAATTGATTTTTTGACATTTTTTCAAAAATCATAACTTTTCGGAAAACAGCTTGATCAGCGCGATTTTTGCTCAGCCAGAAAGAGGGGGTAAAATAGTCTAGGATACTGGCTGTTTTGGATTTTATGGCACAGTTCTAGATTTTTTAACGGGCTTGCTTAAAAATTCCGAACTCGAAGTGCTTTCAGAGCTTAGTAGAGAGCAGTCAAAGAAGTTTTAGAAAGTGCATGAGTTGCTGTTTTCAACGTGTTTTTACTCTTGCAAAAACATTGTGCTAGGAAAAAGTTACGATCTTTTGAAAATGGTGGGACAGAACTTTCGGACCAACCTAACATTTCATATTTTTAAAACTTGGTACATTGCAAAGTAGAAATTCTTTTCTTTTATTCCAAGGACCCTGCAGAAACGGTTACAGAAAGGATGAGGAATCCCTTGAAAACCTCTTCTCTTACCAGAAGTACCGCAGTTTCAAATATTCTACTATTCATTGGATTGAAATTCTTTTGGTAGCAACCGTTTAAACATCCTTTGTTCTACTACCAGATGGACGTCGTCATCATCTTGACTAAGAATGTCACTCTCTAATCTGAGTAGTCGCCCACAACAAGCTCTTATGCTTAAAGGCATCGTCCACCCTAAGTTGGGTGTCTTGAGTTTTTGGCAGCTGGCGACAGTAGGACCCCCCCCTCACCCCCTTCAAGCCAATGCCCAAGTTGCGACTCAGATTGTCGCTTCGGAAGCGAGGAAATCGCTTCGGAATAGCGGAGAAGCGTGAGGACCACAACTCGGCACCGCCCCCTCCAGTGATGCTCGCCCATCGATGCGCACCCATCCGATCACTGTT